TCGGAAAAAGGGCATTATTTAAAGAAATTAATATATCACAGTTGATGAACACTGATTCGAAAGATAATAACGTAAGATTTATTGAAGTTGCAGTGGACGATTATTTCAGGGATGTCCTGTTCTGCATGAAAATTCCATACTTTTGGTGCACAGGCACTCACCGATCGGTAACGGGACTCGTTTGTGCCGTTCTGTCTGAGGACGCACTCTCGAACCTCGCCAACAACTGCACATCAGTTAATAGTATAGACAGGAGAGAATTTTTCAAAAGACCAGGGACACTGGAGTGCTTGTTTCGGGCTTATTAGCCATCATCAGCCTGCAATGCATAACCCTAGGTTTTGCACTACCAAAAATTAGTATTTTGGGCTTCTAATCAGCAGGCGGCGGGTTCGAGCCTCGGGTGGTGGAAGACTAGTGCTTGAGTATGGCTGGCTGATGATGGCTAATAATTCAGAAATAGCCATTCCAGTCGCCCTGGACTTTGCCGGTAATGGTCCCCCGCTTATACTACCGGCCGCTGTGCGGGCGTTGGCAGGGGTCGTGAGTGAGTTCCAACACATAACGTGACGAGTGAGTCCCGTAACCGACTAGTAAGCACCAATGCGCGACGTGAGGCGTTCAAAGGACTAAAGTGGTTGAAAGTAATTTACCTTAGATAGTATTGTCCCGAAGACTAGCATTAACAATATTTGCCCAGACTGGGAATACAACAGTAGGACTAACCTCAGCGAAATGATCGTGAGTTCTGAAAAGGTAATTAATTTTCTGACGACAGTACTAAAATAAATTCTTCAGTTTTTAGAAGTCTACTTCCGATAATGGGAGTTTCTTGCCGGCAACGAACTACAGTTTTAATTGTATAAAAAACAACAGCTTTCGGAACAATTCGCATCCAGTATGGAAATCTTATCTTCTAATAGTATTCGTGGAATCAATGACTGTCCATTAATTTTCTTTAAAATTACCTAATACGTCCTACGGCGCATTCACGTGGGATACATTACTTCAGATTGCCTTGTTGTGACTTTGTCAACCTTCCAGAAAATTCCGCAACGATTCTTAAGGCTTAGAATGTTTTTTCTAGGCCGTTCTTCTCAAGTAATTCACACGATTGGCGAAGAAACTTGCTCCAAAGGGGTGAGTAAAACAAGGCGTTTTAATGGCATTTTTTATTTATGATTCGCATTATTGTTTTAAATTTTTTCCCCGGTTAGTTGATTGACACCGAAGCCCTTGGCAGCACAACTAGTTTATGAAGCGACAACAGACGAATCTGCCATAGTGTACAGTTTAGAGGAATATACAATTTAAAGACTACCGACAAGGATATGGGACAGCGTGAAACGCGTGCGACTAGACGATGCCGAAGCACCGATCTACTGATTCAAAACAGATTGTCATACCGCCCAATCCAGGGATACGCAAAAATCTTCTGTGTGGACGAGCAATAATTGTGAATGCAAGAATTGCAAGGCAAATGTAATGGGAATGGAAAGTATTTGCACAGTTGGGGGACGCGCCGTCTTGAACTCAGCGCTACGATAACTGGGCCAAAACCCTAGGGTCTAGGATTCGAGAGCATTTCCCAGGCAAGCACTCCTGCCTAGTTTTATTTCAGTAGAGTATTTTGCTGAAACAGTATAGAGGGGTGTAGTACATGGGTAAAGGAAATCTCAGCTTGTTTTTAGAACTTCTTTCAAGGATAAAGCACATGGAAGCTTGCTGTGGACTTCCTGAGGAAGTCAACATATTTGAGTAACGCAATACATTCAACTTTAACACGGTGAATGCTAAACCAGTCGAACTTGCCACTGCACTTGAAACTATGCCATCACAAACCGACGAAACACACAAGGTTAAACACGCCGTGCGCCATAAAGTAGTCTCTTCAGTAAGTATAAAATAGATCCACCAATAATGTTTCTTGCGTAAAAAACAACGATGCAGGAATTAAGAATGGAATAGGATATAATAATGCCGCAGCCAAAAAAGGAAAGAACAGCATTTGTGGGAAGGAGCCTCGATTACAGCGGAAGAGCGTAAGTCCACCTCGGCGACCAATGGTCCTACTAATTTACGCCCTTCTTAACGCACCAATTGCTGATCGGTCAGCTACGTTGATATCGCTAGACGAACGATAACAGACAAGACTAGTGGACACGGCACTCGCTCAGTTTCGCGGATCACATGAAATCAGCAAGCCGAAAGTTTCCCATTGGCCAATCGTTCCCTTCAACGGCAGCTGCACCTACAATCTACCCAAATGGGGGGTCCGAACACTGAACTTTCTGCGAGAAGACTCAAGGACCTTCATCAATTTGGCCTCTCAATTCCTGGCCGACTTGATCAAACCATGGTATTCTTCGCAGTGGCCTCAGTATTCCCTTTTATACCACGCGACCTTCTACGCAAACGATTCAAAAATAAACATACAATTTAAATCAGCCGCAGCATATAAGGCCTGTGAGAAAGAAAGATCGGAATCTTCACTGGCATTCGATGGATGACATGCCCAGGCAGCCAGTAAAGAGTGCTTAGTTTCAAAGACCATTCTAAGCCAAGCACTGTCCTCAAATACGATATTGGATGGTCCAGTGGCATACATGTAAGTATTTGCTTAGCGTATTTGCAGCTTCCCTCATCACAGCTGTCGTGACGATAATTGCAAAGGTACTTACAGCCTAGAAGAGAGAGGGCTCGGCTAAGGAAGCTGTTACTCACGTTCCAGCTAGTATACCAATATCTGGACAGTGGATGAAGACCAGAGTCTGACACAAGACCACCTTATTTAACAGGCATCTAGCAGTTAGAATGACACATTTAAGGGGAACATCTGCCAGTTGCTGAGGGAGGGGAACTAAGTCATCCGGTTGCTTCCAATCGGATCTTTAAAACATTTTGTGGCATAAAATGCGTCCGATGTGTGTAAAGCAGAATAAGTAATGGGCGAGGAAATGACGACCAGTAAAGCTGAGGGACTCCTTTAACTGCTGGTAGACTTGGTACAGGTGCGGGCCAAAAGCTGAATAAGCTACTCAGTTATGGAACTCATGGGTTGCGAAAGAAGATATTGGTCTCAGACAGACACAAAGACGCGCCATTAGGCTTGTTCGAGGGCAAGGTTTTCTGTCATACGAGGGACGTCTCATAATTATGAATCTTTTTCCCATAGGTCAAAGGCAAATACAAGAGCAGGTGCCGAATCTCTTGATGCTTGGGCTGCTGCTTGACTTGTGAACATTTATTTGAGATGTCCAGAAGCAACCTATGGGGACGATCGCTTTAACTCCGTGTTGGTGTATCAAGGCTAAATACGCAGAGGTTCTCGTGCAGAGTCGTAGAGGCGTCGAACGCCCTGTGAGAAAACATTTTACTGTCAATGTAACCTTCGCTGCCACACACTCAAATTAAATCCGAAGAATTCATACCTTTGGCACAATTATCATATTACTAAATAATAACAGTAGCATCTATTGTCAGTTCTAATGGTATTTCATGTTGTATGATTTACCGTACTAATAGCGCAGGTACTAGATAAAGCCCAGACACAGGTTCCGTCGATATCTTGCCACTGCACGACATAACTGAGAGGAGATCAACTCACTACGGTTCAGTCCTTTTCCCTTTCATGTTTGTCAAATTTTATTTGTAGTCTAAGCAGACGAGGAATTGAACGGCTTACGTCGCCAGAAAGTAAACTACACTTAAAAAGCATCCGAGTAGTTCATGTGATCGCCCCACTCAGGGGGCAGCTATCTTGTCCGTTGTCCCGACTGAGCTGCGAAGCATTCGCCTGCATATCTGCGTCTGGTGAGACCGGCGGAACAAATGAGACTAAAAGTGGTCACCTCCATTGACATACATTCTTCTGTTAAAGTGGGCTTACTGTTAGAATAATAAACAGGACGTCTCTGTTCCAAGTACAGCCTGCGATAGGCAAGATTGGTATGAGAGTTTTTAACACTTTCTAAGGAGTCTAAATGTGCGTCGAGCATGACAAGACGTGCAAAGACACTATGGGTGCTATCTAGCAGCCTAGCTATTCGGAGCGTTTGCGGGCGATTACCACTGCACTAACGAAGGCTTCTAAAAACATCTCAACTTTACCAGAGCTTCCCAAGTTGCCCCACGAAAGCTGCTGTCGATAAGGTCAAAGCCTGTCATTTACAAGTATAGGGCCCGATCACGCACACCTTGCAGTCGGGGTAGTTACCTTACGTGCATAAGATCAACCTGCCAAGGTGGCCACGCTTAATTTTACTGGACGACAATGAAGTCCTAATTTCAGAGCGTAACACTCAGTCCTTGCGTAAGAACTTGGAGTTTTTCGATTATCTATAGTATGTTTATAGAAGTTGAGGACGAAGCAATACTCTTCATGAAAAGAGCATAAATTACGCACAAAAGAGAACATAGTGAAGCTGAAAAAACATCAGACGAGTGTCAAAACAACGGCAGCATCGAGTACGTGAGTCACATAGGTCTCAATAGAGAGTCCAAAGTTTGCATCGTTTGTTAAGTCAATTCCAACCAAGATAAACAGCATGCTCTTAGTTGATATACAACAAGTAGCGTCGATATGCGGTAACAGTGTCCCAGGATTCTACCGAAAAAAGCGATAAAACGAACTTTCCGTGACGACTGAACCAGAGCAATGACCCCGGTTAGTGCCGTGAAAAACCAGAAGTGTTAAAGTCTAAATGAATGACGGAAACAACTGAAGCGTTGCAGCCGTAGTTCTCGCGTCTCTACGACGAAAAACGTCACATCATGATGTGCGTACACTTTGAATGATTTAAAAAAAGTGTCTGGCAAATAATGCCACATTCACTGTTTTGTTCGAAAGTGCTAAGAAACTTCAACCCAAATGGCCAATAAGAAGAGACGTTCACCAGGGTGCCAACGCCCACACAGAGAGAAAGAGGGGAATGATCTTGGAGAAATGGGGAGATGAAAATAAAAGTGATGTTACTGTCTGTGATGAAGAAATAACACGATTATTTTGATAGAACGGCTGAGAGGATGGCGTTAAGCTGTTGAGACGAAACCAGCACCTTGGCAGCCTCTGTGGAACAGGCGACGGCGGTCGGCTTGGGGAAAGTGAGGCGACCAATGAGATCGGTCGAAGGGGTGGGATCTGCAAGAGCGAGCTTGCGTGCCGTGTTGGATGAAACGAAGTTGGCAAAGTCAGCCACAACCGGTGAGTAGGAGGCTTTGGTTTTTGCGAAAGCTATTATCTCTTCCTGAACCTAAAAAGAGTAAATTCAAATAAAAGTTAAAAACGCATGGCCTTTAAAAATACA